ACCTTTCCTGTTAATCTTTCAGTTATGTTTTTTTACATCCATTTTTTAATTGCAATTTATGTCTTGCTAAAAATGGAGTGACAACTAGCCAACATTAACAGACTAGGTTAAAAACACACACTGTTTTACGAACACCTTTACATACAACCAACAAGTGTAGCTGTATAATGCTAAGGAATAGCAGCAGACAGAAGTTGTATTCACACATACGGATAATACCATTAGAAATGTCAACAGCAAATAGAAAAGTGTCCATGTGTAGTTTCACAGTATGTGAATTACTGAATGGAACTTGTCTCTGTTCTTACTATGTAATGAATTATGGACTGGAAATCCCTTTCCCCATCCTCTACATGCATTCTACTTTTGTCCAGGTAGTGTTGGTAGACATCAGAGCCATTTGAGGCTGTCTGGAAAAATAAATTTGTGATCATGAATCATGATAACAGTCCTCCATATAGTTACCAGGAAATGATGAATATATGAGTGTATAAACACACACACATACATATATATGTTTTATAGATGTCTTGTAGGATCTATATCCAATTCATAGCTATATCACCTATAGAGACATTTACACACATGCATGCTCAATGGGGTTATACTACTTATCAAGCTTCCCAGGACAGATCATTCTTAATTCTCTCACTTATAAAATAAGAACACTTGAAAGTCACAGAATTTCAGAGAAAGAAGGATTCCAAAGAGCACCTACTTTAAAATTTTCTTTACTGGTGGTAATAGAGGTGGTGATAGTGATAGCTGTGATAAGAATATCATCGTTATTAAAAAAAAATTCCAAGACCACTAGAGACTAAATGATCTGCTAAAGTTCATCTATCTAGTTAATGTTAGATGCAGGACTAGAATTCAAGTCTCTCAACCTTAGTTTGGTGTATGTCATGATATTATGACTGATTCTTGGATGGAATATAGCTCCTTTATTTTCCCTTCCTTCCATTATTGATGTTGTTGTTATTTTTAAATTTTGTTTTGTTTTAAAAAAATATTTTTAGCTTGATGCTTTTTGATCAAGAAGAGGAAAGTCTATGACATCATTATCTAAATCAGTCTCATCTGAGCATTATTGCATGTTGGATCCAAATTTGATTTTTCTAGGTATACAGTGTCTTGAAAAAATAAGCAGCTGCCGGGCGCTGTGGCTCACGCCTGTAATCCCAGCTTTTAGGGAGGCAGAGGCGGGAGGATAGCTTGAGCCCAGGAGTTCGAGACCTGCCTGGGCAATATAACGAGACCCCGTTCTCCACAAAAAGGAAAAAATAAGCAGATACACTTTGTGTATAGAAATTTTATTTCTTTAAGAAGTTATTATAAATTAGAGTGATTCCTTTTTATTTATCCTAACGTGACACTACATGAGATTTGTTTTTTTTATAACTTTGGTAAAATTTAGGGACAACATTTATAGATTTTAGTAGACCACCAACAGAAGTACTACTAAGTTCCCAGAGGTTATATGTTATATAAGACTACATGTTTTTAGTAGAATTTTCTAGGAAAATATATGCTTGAACAGAATTGAAGCTTAATAAAAATTGACAAATGCTAGTAAATTTGTATTTCTTTCAGAATTATTTTTTATTTTCTTAACAAAGGAGTAATTTCTGTTCTTTAGCCATCTACCAAGAAGATATTTAAATTCCCTAAACAGCCATATATTAAATTTAAAACATTTTCAAATGGCTTTATGATTAACTTTTAGGGTAGTAACATTCTGACACTTTATTCACATTTTTATTTATTCAAAGACAACTTTAATAGCTTGTTACATGCCAGGCCTTGTGATCAACTCTGAGGACATACATGGTCTCTGCCCTCATACAGTTGGCAGTTTGTTGGACATCTTTTCTGTTGTATTAATTTTGAGAAAAGATGCTGTAAGTTCAGAAAGTCGAAACTGAAATCAACATAATTCATCATTAAGGCAACACTAATTCAATTAAAAGACAAAATCCTGAATTGTGCAGATTTGTATGGTTAGCATCAGTCTAATTGCCAATTGCAGATGTCTTATACTTTGAAAAATTATCGTTTGCCATTTTATTTATCTCAAAGAAATATACTCACAATAATTTATGAAACAAGAGAGACTGTTGGTAAGCAATGAAGCTGCATTGAGTTACAGCTCTTACACATTAAAATGATCTAAATTTTATCACAACCCAACATATTTCCCTCAAAACATTACAGCAATCACTCTTTTTTATTATTTTAAAGGAGTATACTTCTAAGCTTGGGATTGACAGCTTTAAAGACTAGCAATATTGTTTTTGTTATTTCTTCATTCAGGGTTTGGAATATGAACTTTCTCAGTATGTCAGGAGAATTTGTTATAGTATAAAACTATTTGGTGATTATTTTAATACAGTTGTATAAAACATTATGATTATATCAATATGTATCAAGTCATCGAGACTCTGTCAAATTATAATAGTGAGACTAAAATGTTGATTCCATTTTCAGTCTTCCACTTACACAAAATAACTTGTGTTATACTTTTCTGATCTAATTGAGATGTTGAGCTTAAGTCAGATATTTTGGGTTCTGGTTTCTATTTAGATACTAACTAGTGCTGTGATTTTACCCAGCTCACTTCATCTCTCTGCTTCTCATTTTATTCATCTATAAGATGGGAACTGAACTAGGATAGCCCCTCACTTCCATTCAAATTCTCACAGTCTGTGTATTTTTTCATAGATAATCATTATCATCATAATCATCATTTTAGTTCTGGACCCCAGGTGTCAAAATTTAAAAAGCTTCTCTTTTCCTTTATTAATTATTAAGAAAGCTCCTTAGAAAGACAATTTCCCTCAGTACCTTCATCACCCCACCTAATGCCGACGTTATTTTGAACTACATTTACATTGCCAAAGCCTTAGAATGGGATCCTTAGCTTAGGGATCAGTTATACCTTGAAAGATATTTTATTTAATATTAAACACTTTTATGTAACAATTTCAACTCCTTTTATTTTTCATATCTCTGTCCCACTCTGCTCCATCCTAGTTAAATTTTCCTTTAATAGTGTCATGTTCCTCTTCTTTTCCCAAATTTGACATCTGAGACTTACCTTTGACTGCTCTCTAACCTCCACCTCATTTGCTCAATCATCAAATCATTTCTCCTTTGTAATATATTTGTACAGGAAAAACAAACTGTTTTCTCTACTTTATACACTTCACTTCTGATATTAGATGTGTTATGTTTTTTCCCACCAAGCAATTCTTCTGTTCTTAGTGGACAACTACTAGGTGTCCTACAATTCAATTCAGTTCTGCCTTTATCTACCGGAAGTTAGCATTAGATCTCACAAGTTAAGGGCTCAGTCCCACAGGACTGCCTTCCCTTAAAACACCAATAACAAGTCCCAGGTTGTCCCGTGTACTCCTGACCAACCAGCTGTATGTCGGAGTTCTCATAACCCTCTCACTGGGTTTCATAATCTGCTAGAATGGCTCACAGAACTCAGAAATATTTACTGTGTTTACCAGTTTATTATGAAGGATGTGATAAAGAATACAGATGAACAGTCAGGCAAAGAGGTACATAAGGCAAGGTCTGGAAGTGTCCTGAGGACAGGAGCTTCAGTTCCTCTGGAGCTGGGATGTACCACCCTCCTGGCACATAATGTGTTCACAAACCTAGAAGCTCTCCAAATCCTGTATTTTAGTGATTTTTATGGAGGCATGATTGATTATGAACTCATTCTCCAGTTCCTCTTTCCTCCCAAGAGAAGGGACAGGAACACTGAAAGTTCCAGGATTTAGTCATGACTTCGTTTTTCTGGTGACCAGACTTCATCCAGGAGCCTTCCAAGAACCCCTCATTAGAACAAAAGATTCTCCTATCACTCAAGGAATGTCAAGGTAGTTAGAAGCTCTGTGTCCAGAACCCAGAAACAACATATTTCTTACTATTTCTAAGTTTAAACATTTGATTTTTGATTTCCTCACTGCCCTCATTATTCTAGTACATGTTTTCTAAAATTTGGCTCGTAAACAACATGCATCTAAATTCCCCAGAATTTTATAATTGAAATAACTTGAAACAACTGTTAATGTAGACTTTTTTTGGCAGGGTGGTCCAGACCTTCAAAACAAAACCTCTGAGGCTATGATTCTAAAGATCTACATTGTTATTAAGCACCCATTTCAACATGCCTATGAATTCTTCATATTCTTTTATATAGTCTAGATGTAGGCTAAAGACTAATGCGTACTGAACTAGTTTTGGACTACGGCCTTTACATACTCTGCCCAGATCACATAGTACCTTGCTTTAGAATAGAATAGAACATTACCTGACACCTCTTATTCTCAACCTTTGATGTTTCTGTCAAAACTTAAAGGCAGTAGGAAAAGTCTTGTTTAACATCCTGTTACACTTAATTGAATTCATTTTTGTTCTACCTTTGTAAGATTTCTAAATATTAATGAATACATGATTAGTTAATTTAGGCATAATTAGTTTCATCACATTTTAGTTTTTTCTTACCCAGACTTAGCTGAGAAAATATAATAGTCCCTGATAAAATTCTCTAGTTGTTTCAGAATTAGGTGCCTGAGGCTCCTAATTTTCCATGGTATCTTTTTTTATACTGTCCTTTTAATCTTTATACTTAATTAAGTCTATTTCTTTGTTTCATAGAGGATCTTTTTTGTGGGCAGAAATTTCCATAATGTTCTTATTGATTGTATTTGTTTTCTAAAAGTTTTGATCACTGTTGCTACTGGTAACACACACACATGTACACACATACCCAACTAAGGGAATCAGAGCATTGGAGGAGAGAGATTAGTTGTCTTAGGGAAAGCTTTAGCTGCTGAAATACAAAGGATGATGGCAGCACCTTTGGTAGAGTGTGGGCAGTCCTCCTGCCAGGCTACCGGAAAATGATCATTTTATTTAAAACCTACAAGTGCTTCTGTGGAGAAAAAGTGTCAATCTTTAAATCACATTTTTTTTTGTTACAGACGTAGTGGAGATGAATCTCAGAAGTGGGTGTTTGGAACTGAAGGTTGTATTTATTCAAAGGTAAGGACTTTATAAGCCACAGCTTTTATGCCTAAATTTTCTTTTCTTTTTTTTTTTTAATTGCATTTTAAATTTTGCGGTACATGTGAAGAACATGTAAGATTGTTGCATAGATATACATGTAGCAGTGTGATTTGCTGCTTTCCTCCCCCTCACCTATATCTGGCATTTCTCCCCATGCCATTTCCCCCCAACTCCCCACCCCCTGCTGTCCCTCCCCTATTTCCCCCAACAGACCCCAGTGTGTAGTGCTCCCCTCCCTGTGTCCATGTGTTCTCATTGTTCAACACTCGCTTATGAGTGAGAACATGTGGTGGTTGATTTTCTGCTCCTGTGTCAGTGTGCTGAGAATGATGGCTTCTAGGTTCATCCATGTCCCTACAAAGGACATGAACTCATCGTTTTTGGTGGCTGTGTAATATTCCATGGTGTATATGTGCCACATTTTCCCTGTCCAGTCTATCATGGATGGGCATTTGTGTTGGTTCCAGGTCTTTGCTATTGTAAACTGTGCTGCAATGAACATTTGTGTGCATGTGTCCTTATAGTAGAATGATTTATAATCCTTTGGATTTATACCCAGTAATGGGATTGCTGGGTCAAATGGAATTTCTATTTCTAGGTCTTTGAGGAATTGCCACACGGTCTTCCACAATGGTTGAACTAATTTACACTCCCACCAACAGTGTAAAAGTGTTCCTGTTTCTCCACATCCTCTCCAGCATCTGTTATCTCCAGATTTTTTAATGATCACTATTCAAACTGGCATAAGATGGTATCTCAATGTAGTTTTGATTTGCATTTCTCTAATGACATGTGATAATGAGCATTTTTTCACGTTTGTTGGCCTCATGTATGTCTTCTTTTGTGAAGTGTCTGTTCATATCCTTTGCCCAATTTTGAATGAGCTTGTTTGTTTTTTTCTTGTAAATCTGTTTTAGTTCTCTGTAAATTCTGGATATCAGCCCTTTGTCAGATGGGTAAACTGCAGAATTTTTTTCCCATTCTGTTGGTTGCTGATTCACTCTAATGACTGTTTCTTTTGCTGTGCAGAAACTGTGGAGTTTGATTGGGTCCCATTTGTCTATTTTGGCTTTTGTTGCCAATGCTTTCAGTGTTTTGGTCATGAAGTCATTGCCTACACCTATGTCCTGAATGGTTTTGCCTGGATTTTCTTCTAGGGTTTTTATGGTGTTAGGTCTTATGTTTAAGTCTTTAATCCATCTGGAGTTAATTTTGGTGTAAGGTGTCAGGAAGGGGTCCAGTTTCTGCTTTCTGCACATGGCTAGCCAGTTTTCCCAACACCATTTATTAAACAGGGAATCCTTTCCCCATTGCTTGTTTTTGTCAGATTTGTCAAAGATCAGATGGTTGTAGATGTGTGGTGTTGCCTCTGAGATCTCTGTTCTGTTCCATTGGTCCATATCTCTGTTTTGGTACCAGTACCATGCTGTTTTAATTACTGTAGCCTTGTAGTATAGTTTGAAGTCCAGTAGTGTGATGCCTCCTGCTTTGTTCTTTTTGCTTAGAATTGACTTGCCTACACGGGCTCTCTTTTGGTTCCATATGAAGTTTAAGGTGTTTTTTTTCCAGGTCTGTGAAGAAGGTCATTGATAACTTGATGGGGATAGCGTTGAATCTGTAAATTACTTTGGGCAGTATGGCCATTTTCACAATATTGATTTTTCCTAACCATGAACATGGAATGTTTCTCCATCTATTTGTATCCTCTCTTATTTTGTTGAGCAGTGGTTTATAGTTCTCCTTGAAGAGGTCCTTTATGTTCCTTGTTAGTTGTAAAGCTAGGTATTTTATTCTCTTTGTAGCAATTGTGAATGGCAGTTCATTCTTGATTTGGCTCTCTTTAAGTCTGTTATTGATGTATAGGAATGCTTGTGATTTTTGCACATTGATTTTGTATCCTGAGACTTTGCTGAAGTTGCTTACCAGTTTCAGGAGACTTTGGGCTGAGATGATGGGGTCTTGTAGATATACAATCATGTCGTCTGCAAATAGAGACAATTTGACTTCCTCCTTTCCTATTTGAATACCCTTTATTTCTTTTTCTTGCCTGATTGCTCTGGCTAGAACTTCCAGTAATATATTGAATAGGAGTGATGAGAGAAGGAATCCTTGTCTAGTGCCAGATTTCAAAGGGAATGCTTCCAGTTTTTGCCCATTCAGTATGATATTCGCTGTTGGTTTGTCATAAATAGCTTTTATTATTTTGAGATACATTCCGTCAATACCTAGTATATTGAGGGTTTTTAGCATAAAGGGCTGTTGAATTTTGTCAAAGGCCTTCTCTGCATCAATTGAGATAATCATGTGGTTTTTTTCTTTGGTTCTGTTTATGTGGTGAATTGCGTTTATGGACTTGCATATGTTGAACCAGCCTTGCATCCCTGGGATGAATCCTACTTGATTATGGTGGATAAGCTTTTTGATGTGCTGCTGCAATAGGCTTGCCAGTATTTTATAGAAGATTTTTGCATCTATGTTCATCACGGATATTGGCCTGAAGTTTTCTTTTCTAGCTGAGTCTCTGCCAGGTTTTGGTATCAGGATGATGTTGGTCTCATAAAACTATTTGGGAGGGATTCCCTCTTTTTGGATTATTTGGAATAGTTTCAGAAGGAATGGTACCATCTTTGTATGTCTGGTAGAATTTGGCTGTGAAGCCATCTGGTCCTGGACTTTTTTTGTTTGGTAGGCTCTTAATTGCTTCCTCAACTTCAGACTTTGTTATTGGTCTATTCAGGGTTTTGACTTCTTCCTGGTTTAGGCATGGGAGGAGGCAAGTGTCCAGGAATTTATCCATTTCTTCCAGGTTTACTAGTTTATGTGCATAGAGTTGTTTGTAATAATCTCTGATGATGTTTTGAATTTCTGTGGATCTGGGGTGATATCCCCTTTATCATTTTTATTGCATCAATTTGGTTATTCTCTTTTCTTTTTTATTAATCTGGCTAGTGGTCTATTTTGTTGATCTTTTCGAAAAACTGGCTCCTGGATTTATTGATTTTTTGAAGGGATTTTGTGTCTCTATGTCCTTCAGTTCTGCTCTAATCTTAGTTATTTCCTGTCTTCTGCTAGGTTTTCAGTTTTTTTGATCTTGCTCCCCTAGCTCTTTCAATTTTGACAATAGGGTGTCAATTTTAGATCTCTCCTTTCTTCTCATATGGGCACTCATTGCCTTATATTTTCCTCTAGAGACTGCTTTAAACGTGTCCCAGAGATTCTGGTATGTTGTGTTTTCATTCTCATTGGTTTCGAAGAACATCTTTATTTCTGCCTTCTTTTCATTGTTTATCCAGTCAACATTCAAGAGCAAAGCTGTTCAGTTTCCATGAGGCTGTGTAGTTCTGAGTTAGTTTCTGCATTCTGAGTTCTAACTCGATTGCACTGTGGTCTGAGAGACTTTTTTTAATGATTTCTGTTCTTTAGCATTTGCTGAGGAGTGATTTACTTCCAATTATGTGGTCAATTTTAGAGTAGGTGTGATGTGGTGCTGAGAAAAATATATATTCTGTGGAGTTGGGGTGGAGGTTTCTGTAAATGTCTATTAGGTTTGCTTGTTCCAGGTGTGAGTTCAAGTCCTGGATATCCTTGTTAATTTTCTGTCTGGTTGATATGTCTAATATTGACAATGGGGTGTTAAAGTCTCCCATTATTATTGTGTGGGAATCTAAGTCTCTTTGTAAGTCATTAAGAACTTGCCTTATGTATCTGGGTGCTCCTGTATTGGGCACATATATATTTAGGATCGTTAGCTCTTCTTGTTGCATTGATCCTTTTACCATTATGTAGTGTCCTTCTTTGTCTTTTTTGATCTTTGTTGCCTTAAAGTCTATTTTATCAGAGTTGAGAATTGCAACTCCTTCTTTTTTTTACTCTCCATTTGCTTAGTAAATCTTCCTCCATCCCTTTACTTTGAGCCTTTGTGTATCCTTGCATGTTAGATGGGTTTCCTGGATACAGCACACTGATGGGTTTTGGCTTTTTATCCAATTTGCCAGTCTATGTCTTTTGATTGGGGCATTTAGTCCATTTACATTTATGGTTATTATTGTTATATGTGAATTTGATACTGCCATTTTGATGCTAACTGGCTGTTTTGCCCATTAGTTGATACAGATTCTCCATTGTGTTGATGCTGTTTACCATTTGGTTTATTTTTGGAGTGCCTGGTTCCGGTTGTTTCTTTCTATGTGAAAAGCCTCTTTCAGGAGATCCTATAAAGCAGGCCTGGTGGTGATGAAATCTCTGAGTACTTGCTTGTTTGCAAAGGATTTTATTTTTTCTTTACTTATGAAGCTTAGTTTGGCTGGATACGTAATTCTGGGTTGAAAGTTCTTTTCCTTAAAGGATGTTGAATATTGGCCCCCACTCTCTTCTGGCGTGTAGGGTTTCTGCTGCGAGATCTGCTGTGAGTCTGATGGGCTTCCCTTTGTGGGTAACCCTACCATTCTCTCTGGCTGCCCTTAGCATTTTCTTCTTCATTTCAACCCTGGTGAATCTGACGATTATGTGCCTTGGGGTTGCTCTTCTTGAGAAATATCTTTGTGGTGTTCTCTGTATTTCCTGGACTTGAATATTGGCTTGCCTTGCTAGGTTGGGGAAGTTTTCCTGGATAATATCCTGAAGAGTATTTTCTAGCTTGGATTCATTCTCTTCGTCACATTCAGGTACACCTATGAAACGTAGATTAGGTCTTTTCACATAGTCCCACATTTCTTAGAGACTTTGTTCATTCCTTTTTACCCTTTTTTCTCTGTTCTTGCCTTCTCGTTTTATTTCATTGAGTTGATCTTCGACCTCTGATATCCTTTCTTCTGCTTGGTCAATGTGGCTGTTGAAACTTGTGCATGCTTTGCCAAGTTCTCATATTGTGTTTTTCAGTTCCATCAATTAACTTATATTCCTCTCTAATTTGTCCATTGTCGTTAGCATTTTGTCAAATCTTTTTTCAATGTTCTTAGGTTTTTTTTGCATTGGGT